GAATGGCCATCGCAATGGAATATTCGAACAAATAATCTTGATAAGATATTTACTTTTGCAAATCTTTCACATCTCAATATCACTAGTCAACAACTTTATCTTTGGTCTGCACCAATGGATATTATTGAAAAATATCAAATTTATTTAAATCAACTTTTGACATCGAATGAAACTGCTTTAGCAATGTATCTCTATTATAATTGTACATTACCGAGATTTGGTTCAATGTGTCAATATTCATTCGATGATTATGATCCTAATCATGTATCCTTATATGAATTTACTTATGAATGGTATTTGAAAGTTAGATATGAAAAACGAAATCAATCATGCTATATGCATTTACAATGCAGTCTTGGTGAAACTCCATTATGCATCGAGTGGTACAATATCTGTGATGGAATTATTCAATGTATCGATGGAGTAGACGAAGAACATTGCTGGAAACTCGAAATTAATGACTGCAAAGACGATGAATATCGATGTTTCAACGGGCAATGCATACCTTTGGTATTCAATACAAATGGTGACACCTATCCGGATTGCTTCGATTCATATGAAGCATTTATACATCCCACTGGAGAAGAGAGCAATCTTTTTGAAACACCCTTTAGATACGAAGATCACAAGTGTATGATGAACTCACTGAGATTATCGGACCAACAAATAGATTCTTGTCATGATACCTACAATGCTCTTTTTAAAACATTATTATTTGCCAATAAACCAAATTCAATGGATAATATCTGTTGGTTAGCACTTCTATGCTACTTTGAATCTATATACTCATGGCAATTAAACTGTAATGATTTTTGTTCAGAAAAAACATGTCAAGAAAAAATTCAACAAAATTGTTCAAATATATTCTATATGCCAAGCGCACCGGTAGCGTTTGGTCATATCTATTTTGCTTATACAAAAAATTACATTATCGAACAAAAAGTGCCAACAATGGCACCTGAGTATGTATGTTACAATAAAGAACTTTGCAATGGATCTTATCTTAATAGACCATCGATTTCATTCAACGGAACCATTTGTACTCGTTTCGAAAATATTCCAATTGGATCTGGTGGATATGGCTCTTGGACTGCAGATTACGTTCATCGTGTGCATGAAGGACTTTCTCATTGTAATACAGCTTTTCGAAATGATTCTTCATTTTGTAACAAAACAACCATGTATCAATGTATCAATTCATCTAAATGTATCGCAAACGTTCGTGTTCTCGATAATATAATTGATTGTGACTATGGTGACGATGAAACATTAATCATGATCAATAATATTGATTTCATAAAGCATGGTACAATGCATATATATTGTACGGTAAATAAAATATTTATTTCTCGAAAATTAATGGTAGATTATATGTGTAACTGTGGATACGATATCTATGATTTATGTGAAGATTTACCTTCAAATCTAAATTATATTACAGAACATATATCATTTCCAACAATTTGTGATGGATCAACTCAATTAAAACCTATACTTATCAACGGACAAAATCAAACAGATGAAACAGAATGTGAACTATGGCTGTGTAATAATACATATACTCGTTGCAATGGTATCTGGAATTGTTTGAACGGTGCTGATGAAGTTGATTGTTATCCATCGTTATTGAAAAATTGTCCACGTCATAGTTATTTATGTTTCTCATTCGAGACAAGTGAGTTGATGTGCCTTTCAATAAATAAAATTAATGATGGCAATATCGATTGTTTGGGTGCCATCGATGAGCAACAAGTATGCGCTGAAAAGAATCCTTCCGATAATGGATGGCCATTTTCTTGTCAAATAGGCTTCGATACAATAGGTATATCATTTGCCGGTCTCTGCGATGGAATCAACAATTGTTTACATGGAGATGATGAAAGATTTTGTGCTCATATCTCAAATCATACAGAATTGTTTGGTAATTATGGCAAATGTACTCAAGTCACGACCATAGCTCTCCCTAATATTGAATATTATTTCTGTAGCATCTTCACATATAAATGTGAATTTCGAATGAAATTTTTTTCACTTAATACAATACGAAAAACAAGAAGCGATATAACAACAAATGATAATGCACGTTCTTTAACATCTACAATTCCTCTTCAAAATCAACATCGTTGTCATCGTGGTATTGATTTACGGGTCTGGTTAGATAGTAAAAATAATCATAGTACTACTACGTGTCTCTGTTCACCAAATTATTATGGCAATAAATGTCAATATCAAAATCAACGGGTCAATTTCGTTGTACAATTTCAAGCATATACTGATTCATGGAAAACACCATTTATTCTTATTGTTATGCTCATTGACGATAGTTATCAACGAATCATTCACTCACATACACAACTTACATACATACCTATACCAAATTGTAAAACAAAATATATTGTTGATTTACTTTATTCAACACAACCAAAAAATCACTCACAACAATATTCAATACATATTGATATTTATGAAAAAATATCATTATTATATCGAGGCAGTTTACTAGTACGATTACCATTTCCATTTTTACCTGTGGAACGTATTTCTGTTTTACTTAGAATTCCATATACTAATGATAATTTTCAAAGTTGTTCAGATCATAATTGTATTCATGGTCAATGTATTCGATATTTTAATGATCCAAACAAAACTACATTTTGTCGATGTCATGAAGGATGGTCTGGTCGATATTGTTCTATTGAACATGTATGTACCTGTGCATCAGGCTCACTATGTGTTGGTATTTTACCGAATAACCAATCTATTTGTGTTTGTCCGATAGATAAATGGGGTTCTCGATGTTTACTTGATGATCATATATGTCAATTTAATATATCATGTCAACATGAAGGTTTATGTATACCTTTTGATAGATATTCATTAACAAATAAACAATTTAAATGTATTTGTCCAAATGGTTTCTTTGGAGAAGTATGTGACATAGCATCAAATAAAATCATTTTATCATTTAATAAAGATATTATTATACCACAATCAATGTTTATTCATTTTATTGAAGTAAAAGATTATGCTGCACCTGAAAATGGTACTACATTGAAAAAAATTCCTTTAGCACAAAATTCTATCACTATTTATTGGTCACGACCATTTCATATTGCATTTGTGGAATTTTATCCTAATAATTACTATTTAATCACTGTTCAACAGACATATAATCGATCGATGACAATGGAAAAAACATTGGAACTTACAGATCATTGTTTGCATATACGTGATATATTTGATGAAAGTATTACTAATCTTCATCTACTTCGTCGTATTAAATATTATCATATACCATGTCAACAATATAAACCATTATTGTCTTGTTTTTATGATGATGGTAATAATAATAGTGATGGTCATATTTGTTTATGTTATGATTTTGATGGTCAACGTCAAGCGAATTGTTTTGAGTTTAATCATCAAAAGAAATTTGATTGTCGAGGTCAAAGTAATTGTGAAAATGGAGCTCAATGTTTACAAGATAGTGTTGATTGTCCAACAACATCAATGTGTGTTTGTTTACCATGTTTTTACGGAACACGTTGTCAATTCAGTACAAATGGTTTTTCTCTTTCATTAGATTCTATCTTAGGTTATCACATTCAACCACATGTTAATATTAATCATCAACCAACTATAGTCAAAATAAGTATAATGCTTAATATTATATTTACTACAGTTGGAACTGTCAATGGTGTTTTATCATTAATTACTTTTTTAAATAAAGAACCACGTAAAACAGGCTGCGGTTTTTATCTTATTGGATCATCAATTACTACACTTAGTACAATGATATTTTTTGCATGTAAATTTTGGATTCTTATTTATGCACAAAAAACATATATAACAAATCGATTATTTCTAAAATTTCAATGTAGTTCTATTGATTTTTTATTGCGAATCAGTTTAAATATGGATCAATGGTTAAATGCATGTGTAACTATGGAACGAGCAATTACTGTTATTCAAGGAGTTAATTTCAATAAGAAAAAAAGTAAAAGATTAGCAAAATTTATTATTTCTGCTCTCCTTATTACTGTTATTAGTACACTTATTCATGATCCTTATCATCGAACTCTTATTGATGATGATGATAATGATGAAAAACGAATTTGGTGTATTGTTACTTATTCGCCAAATATTCAACTATACGATTCAATAATAAATATTTTACATTTTATTATTCCATTTATTATTAATTTTATATCAGCAATTATTATTATTATACAGACCAGTCGTTCCAAAACAGCAGCTAAAACTGATCAAAGTTACAGAAAAGTTTTACATGAACAACTAAAACAACATAAACATCTTCTGATTATTCCAGTTATATTAATTGTTCTTGGTATACCACGTTTAATAATTTCTTTTGCTTCTGGATGTATGAATTCAACTGCAGATTCATGGTTGTTTCTTAGTGGATATTTTATCTTTTTCGTTCCGCCTACAATAACCTTCATTATACATGTCCTTCCATCAAAATTCTATAAGAAAGAACTTAACAAAACAATTCAAAGATATCAAAAAACAATACGAGAACGTATACAACGTCAATGAAAAAACATTTTCAAATGAGACACAAAATCGACTTTCATTATCTTAGCTTTTGTCTGCAAATTATTCGAATTGCTTAATAACATAGGTTGCTTTATCTATCTTTCAAAATAGTGTTCATATTTATAATAATCACCCAGATTCATTCATTCAACATCGAACCTTATCAAATCTAACTATGTTAGTTTCACATTGAGAGCTTTCATTTAATCCGAATGTATCCCATATCTCTATTTATTAACATAAACATTTACTCATGTGAGAACAATTATCGAAAAAATAAAGACAGCAATAAAAAATCTATATGGTTTGTGAAGTTTAGTAGTTGCTTGCCTATTTACTGCATAGGAAGATTTTGACGATCGTCTACAACAAGTATATATACCGCCAATAATCAAAGATATGATAATAATGATTAAATGAAATAATGCTATGCCCGTTTGAAAAGCATATGGTGTTGAATGACAATATGTCGTAATTTCGTTTGGATCTTCATGCTGAATCATTGATTTTCTTGCCGATGACCAGACGACACCCTAACAAATAACCTCACTATATTATTCAAGTAAAAGTAACTCATAAATCTTACCACAATCGACCATATAAAATGAAAGAGAAAAGATATGATAACAAGAAATGAAATGCCAAGTCCTACAAATGCAGGTGGTGTCTTTTTGCAACAATGATCCATTGTATTAACATAGATTATCTATAAATAATAATATAAAATTAATCAGATATTTAACATTGAAAAAACTTACAATAAAAAAAATCAAAATAATAGAAATTAAACTACGACATCCAGATACTATTAACCATGCAGGAATTTGTGTTTGTGCCGGACATTGATTTATATAGATAATACCAACACATAATTTACTAATAGGTAGACTCGATGTTAGACATATAATAATCACAGTTACACAGGCAAAATAAAGATTCTCGATTGAATGAATCAAATTATCTAACGACATAAATCGAACATGATCGGCGTCTTTCATCGTTGTTGTTGTTGCCATTTCTTACTAGATATTTTGTTGTTATTAAGTAGAAATTCGTCAAAAAGAACAAGCGTGGCATGGCTTTACAAGAGAAAAGAACAAGAAAAAATGCACAATATGTTAACAAATGTGTCGTCATGGAAGACAACTGAAAGTTGAAACGATAGTTTAATTTCTTAATTCTTTATTATATACAAATTCAAACAGAATGGACATTTTATCTTCATCAAGTGAGGTGTTCTTAATAAATTACAAATACAGTTGAGTATGTAAAGCCAATATTTGTAAATAATAAAATACATTGTGGACAGACACATATACGATATAATTGATTTATATTTCCAATATATAAATAAAGACGAAATCAATAGCAGTGAGCTCTATTGACATTTGATTGTTATAGAGTCAAAGAGGAGCATGATATGAATTTTTTCTTCACTAAATAACACAGTTTATGACTAAGAAATAAAATATACATTCTTTTGCTATTCCTTATCATTTACTTTTTTTCTTCTTTATACACCACTCAGTTGAAATGTAAAATAAAGAAAAAACAATGACTACATCTACAATATCGAGCAAATGTTTATGCGGTCAAATAACTGTTTCTATTCCACGAACTGAATTCAACAAAACTGATAGTATCGGTTTATGTTATTGTAAAACTTGTCGTCAAATTGGCGGTTGTCTAGCATCATATAATCTATATATACTAAAGAAAGATGTTAAAATAGAAGGTCAACCAAAAATTTATGAAGATAAAAATACAGATAGTGGTACAACAATACAACGTGGATTCTGTAGTAATTGTGGTTCATCAATCTATGGTAAAAATCCAAAATCTGTTGGTCCAATAGCTCTGAAATTAGGCATGTTTGATGAATTACCGAAACCTGGTATGGCACTCTATTGTAAACGACGTCCAGATTGGGTTAAACCAATTGATGATATAGACGAACATTAAATTGTGCCAACACTGACAGAATTTCAAAGTGTAGTTACAAATAAATATATTAATCATCGCTTTTAGTTTGTATTTCTTCTTCATGTAATTTAAATTTTTTTTTTATTTTTCAAAATGAAATAAGGCGAGAAATGTGATTATGTGTTATTCATAGAAATATTTTATGCAACGGACGATAGCGAATGTTTATCTGGTACAATCAAATTAACTTCAATATAGTGTTCAATTATACGAAGAAGCTTGTTATAACGTACGTAGTAGCTCTATGCTAGTATGGTTATTTGAACAAAATTCATTTGGAAGCAATCGAGAGCATGTCATTGTTGATGTCTTGTTGTGCCAGCATAATTTCTTGATAAGTTTTTGTTTCTTATCAATTCATGAACGATATTTTATGAAAAGAACAAAGAATCGATAAATTCACTAAAATATAATATCATATTTTACAGTGTAAATTCTAATTAAACAATATTTCTTTTGCTATTATATTTGTAATTATGCATGCGAATATGAATATATATGACTAGTTAAAATATCTTTATTCATACCGACATATACAAATAACTGTTATAGAGGTGTCTTTGTTGCTAAGATCTAATTATGACGCGAGTTATTTTTAAACGCTGTAATCTTAGTAATACTTGTAGAACTTACAAATCAAATAGCAATTATTGAAGGCGAAGAAGTTGTATTACTACGTATGTGATGTAGTAGTTGTAGTACTAGTTGCAGTGCTAGTTGTAGTAGTTGTTGTAGTACTAGTTGTAGCACTAGATATAGAAGAGGTAGAGGTTGTAGTTGTAGTACTAGTTCCAGTGCTAGTTGTATTACTCGTTGTAGTGCTTGGTGTAGTACTCGTTGAAGTATTAGTTGTAGTACTAGTTCTAGTACTAGTTGTAGAAGGCGTGGTGGTTGTAGTTGTAGAACTACTTGTAGAGGGCGTGGAGGTTGCAGTTGTAGTACTAGTTGTAGAAGGCGTGGAGGTTGTAGTTGTAGAATATGTTGAAGTTGTAGTAGCAATAGATGTTTGAGTGATTGTTGTGGTAGTTGTCGTAATCTTTGTTGTAGTTGATGGTGCAGTAGTGGAAGTCGTTGTCGATAATGATTCAGTAACAAAGATAAGCTTTTGATAGCTATCATTTATACCAGTACCTAAACCGAGGGCAATGGCAGCAGCAGAAAAGATAAAAAATACTGTGATTCCCACAATAACCGATTGTACTCTGGAACTACAATGATCTGATGCATAGACGTCATCAATATCTTGGTATAACATGTCAATGTTAGAATAATATAAAATGAATAACAATAACAGTGTCGAATAATTATATGTATGAATTGATAGAGGTGATATTTAACCTTCACAAAAAGAAAAAAAAGATCATTACAGTTAAAATATCACACTTGTCACCTTTTTTATATTAATAGGACTAGATAGCTGTAAGCGTCTAATCAATAACATCAAAGGTGAGAATAGCCGGAAGCATTTTTTTGCATATGATACACATTGATACCGATTACGAGTCTGTCTCACATGAGAAAAATCATATATTACTTTATTCTAGAATCAATATAGTATCTACTTGTAGTTATGTTTTATTGAAAAAATTGAAATAGTTAAGCATTAATTTATTGAAGAAAATAGATTTTTAAACTAAAAATCTAGATTAAAAAAATTTTATGTCACCAAACTTGACATTTATTCTCTCGACTATTTCCTTGCCCTGGTTTACATCCAAAAACTCGATCAAATTCTGCAAAATTTGATGTTGAACCAAGTACTCTAAAAAGAAAAAAAAATGTTTTAATACAAACTTTATGATATAAAACTCACCTGAATTGATTAGGTGCATGCACATCTATTTGAGTTTGAAGTCTTGCCACTTGATCTTTTAATTTTGCACACCATGTTAAACCAAAATTTATGAAAAACATTTGTTCTGCTGAATATTTTGTTAATCCTGGTAATTTTTTATCTGTATTCGGATTTATTCGAGCCCAATTTTGATAAGCCTAAAGAAAATCAAGAAATCAAATTGAAATGAGAACATCTTATAACTCACAAGAAACGCTTCTTTTAATCCACCATTATCAGCAATATTTTCACCTAATGTCTGTTCGCCACTGATCTAAATAATAGAAATCAGTTCATGTATACAATCTATAATTAAACACAATATTACCGATATATTCACTTGAGCTACTGTATAATTATTATATTGGTCGA